TTTTAAGTATCTTTCCGTAGATTTCTCTTCCATGAATTCTCAATCTCTCTGTAAACCCATGTAAACTGTTACCCACAGTAGCCTTTGGCAAGAAGTTCAGTAACTCAGCTTCTACTGCCTGCTTAAGACTTTATCAAGCTTTGTCATCTCCCTTCTAATCTGAGGGGCCCTACTTTACTTAGTGATTCCTTAGCTGTAACTCCAAGCCTTCATTCTCCTTGCTACCCTACTCTGAAATTTTCCAGTTCTATTGTATAGCTTTTCTGTTGCACAGATAAGAGCTATGTTACTCAAGGTGCAAATTTATACAGTGATATAATGATTACTGGTTTTATATTCTGCTCCTTTCCCAATAATATAATTTGATTTGCATTTTTGATCTCCAGGAAGCATAAGCTGGTATTTTCAAGGCCTTACCTACTATACCCCTAAGATCTTGTTCCTGAATTGGGGTGGTCATCTCAGAGCACAGCATTTGAAGTGTCAGATTGTCTTTTTTTTAACCACATGTATCACTTTATCTACACTGAATTCCTCTTGCCAGTCATTCAATCTTAAGAAGTTTTCCTACAGTTCTTCATAGCCATCTGTTTATCCTATTGCTCTGAGTATTTTAATATAATGGCAAACTTTGTCATCTCACTGTTCATTCCTTTTTCCAGGTCCCTTAAGCACGCGCTGAACAGCATAGGCCTCCTAGAAAGACCAATTTTTTCTGTGTCACTTGTTGGCCTGTTGAATTTTCTTCTTGGCTTTAAGCTTAATTATCCTAGTTGATGCCAGTTAGCATTTACAACTAAGAAAAAGCTTTACTTCCACCTTAAAGCTTTGTGTAGGGGAAGCACAATTACAGGCAGTGGCAAGGTGTACAGAACTGAAGCTGAGTTTTTTGGAACAAGGAGGGTATGTCAAGACAACTGATATTTGAGCACTTTGAAAGTTTTCAGCAGTGGGAGTTGTCCCTCGCGTGGGGTTTTTTTTCCCAGGTAATGCAAGGATCTATATAGCAAAGATAATCACTTTTTTTTTTCCCCGCTGGTGAGAATTACTGAACATAAAATTTGGCAGCATAAATTTTGGCAAATATGGGACAAGGGACATTTGCTTTGAGGGAAGACCAAGTGGGAGGGAGGGATGATCTGTGATGTTGCATATGGGTAGATTCATTTAGTTATTCTGAGAATTCCTGCAGTAGAGTCTCTCCACCACACAAACTTCTTACTATGCAAGTGTTTTCTCATGAAGCATCCAATCCTTCGTCACTGTGGCCATCACATACACAGTAGGGGACTGGAGCATCTCTCTTATGAGGAAAGGCTGAGAGACCTGGGTCTGTTTAGTCTGGAGAACAGAAGACTGAGAGGGGACCTCATCAATGCTTATAAATATCTAAAGGGTGAGTGTCAAGAAGATGGGGCCAGGCTCTTTTCAGTGGTGCCCAGGACAAGGGGCAACGGGCACAAACTGGAGCACAGGAAGTTCCACCTGAACATGAGGAAAAACTTCTTTACTCTGAGGGTGACAGAGCACTGGAACAGGCTGCCTAGGGAGGTTGTGGAGTCACCTTCCCTGGAGGTATTCAAAACCTGCCTGGATGTGATCCTGTGTAAGCTGCTGTAGGTGATCCTGCTTCATCGGGAGGTTGGGCTAGATGATCTCCAGAGATCCCTTCCAACCCCTACCATTCTGTGACTGGCCATTTAGGACATCCCTTTCTCAACTGGTGGTGGGGAAAAACCCAAAACCTCTGTAAAACCATGTGTCATGTGGTCAATCTTTTTTGGTTTTAGGCCAGCCAAGGAGAACAATGAAGTTGAATGCAAGAGAAATAGTATTAATGTCTTTTACAGGAAAAATATTTTAAAACCTTCAGAAAAAACTTGCTGAGCCTCTTACAATTTCAAACAAAACATTTTATTCCAATGCTCTGCATTATTTCTAAAATATTCTAGAGAAAACATGTACTGAATGCCAGAAATAATACATCTTGCTGAGACAGATTTAAAATACCAAGTATTACGTAAAAGTGTATGCAAAACCAAAAATGGCTGAAGGGATTGATCAGAGCAGAAATGGAAAAGAACATCTATAGGATACAAACATTTATAAGAGAAAGTCTGGCAAGTAAATTATTTAAAGTCTATTGCCTGGATCTTTCCAATAGCTTTTAAAACATTTTTTACCAAGTTAAACACAAGAAGGAATAAAGAAGAAATAAGCCAGAAATATCAAACTTTGTTTGTAAAGGCGATATCACAGAATTCTTATAATAGACAAAAAATATATGCAATGATGGGAGATTAAAAAGTTCAATAATGTGTAAATATATCTGTCATCCATTAGTACCAGCAAACAGCTGTATTAATTCAAAAGCACACTGCAATCAGTCCAACATACCCCATCTTTTTCCAATGTTATACTAATATCCACGGAACAAATATTCTGGTTTGTTTTAAAGTAAAAAGAGGTTTGAAATAAGTAATCCATGTTACTTTTAAAAGTACTTTAAAAATAAATATTGATTTAGTCTTTCCTCTCTTTCCGAAAAAGAATATGACTTGAGCTTGGATTTTCTTTTCCACTAGTATCTATGAAGCTGTAGCATAAATGTACAGTTTGACTATTAGAACTTGATTGTCTTAGTTGCTGCTGAGATACTGAATAAAGGCACTCAGGAAACTTTTTATCCCTTTATTATTTATTATTCCAGTATCAGAAAGGTGATAGAACCCAAGCGTAGGGGTTGCATCTCAACATAAAGCGTTTCGTATGGCACTCTCAGACACAGCCAGTTTTCCAATGCAGCTGTTTCAAGAGCAGGAAATTTTGCTGATCTCCACACTTAAGAAGCTATCTTTATATTCTGATTACCAGAAGAGGAGGTCATAATTTATTATTTGCATGGTTTTCAGCAGTTTTGGTTTCAAAGTTTGCTGAGAATCAACCAAAAATGGAAGCATGCCCCTCCCCAAAATAAGCAGCTGCATCAATCTCTAATGCAATATTGTAGATTTTTAATGGTGTTAATGACAGAACCTTTTTTTTTTTTTTTAATGAGACCATCTCACAGAGCTGCTGAATCTAGGCCTGTGTTTCTGCTTGCTGAAGCTGCCTTCATCTATAGTCAGGAATATGGAATCAAATTGGGTTTGAATTTTAGTATGTACATGGCATTTGCAATCATGCAATTTCCAGCTAGTAGCTAGCAGTTTGAAGGGCTCTACCATTACATTTTTCTGGATACTACTAACCACATAATAAAAGATCTGACTATTGTCTGTTCAATTTAATTACAGTTCCTCAAAGACTGTAATTCCATTAAAACAGTGTAGATATTAAAAAATGAACTTTAAAATACTTACCTGAAGGCAAAGATTCACACAATATTCTCTGTTCTCATGGTAAGCCTTCCAAATAGATGAGTGAACCGATCAACAGCAATCTTGGTAGCAGTCCTACAGAGCTAGTCTCTACAGTTGGCTGAGAACAGGTCTGACCCTGCTGTCAAAACCAGGCACTCAGGCGATACAAGCATTAACAAGCAAGCAGGTGCAGAGCAGTCCTGATGTCCACAGCAGATGTACAGAGCCAGGCCCCAGTTCGTTTGTTTGAGGTGTATGGATTAACCGAGCCCAGCCAAGCTTGATCTTGGTCTGGCCCTGTCTAGCAGCAGGTATGGCAGAAGAATGCTTTAGGGTTCACTGGAGCAAAAGAGTGTGGGTTGTTTCTTGTATCTGAGCTTGGATTTCCTTAAGCACAGTGTGGAAAATGTGTGTCTAAGCTACAGACGGGCTATGGCCAACCAGAAGCCAACAAGTGTGGTTTATGTAGTTGTAGTGACAACATTACAGAAGTCAGGTAACAGATCTCGCTACAAGATGGAGAGGTGCTCTTAAAACATGTTGGAGGAGCTAGCGGTTAGCCTTCAGTTCAGTAACTGAAGGGCATGAAGTGACCCTTTGTCTCAGTGTAGATTTGAGGCAGTTCAATGCAGCAAGTGCTAAAAAGGTAAATCATTCTAGCCCTGTAAGAGAGGGGTAAGTAGGGAAGGCAGTAGTGGTGAGAAAGGAGTAGTTACAGGATATTCAAAGGAATAAACACGCTCAGATTAAACAGTACTGGAGTCAGGTAAAGAATAGATAGATGGGAGAAAATTTAGTACAATCTTAAGTTTCAGCCATCAAAAAAATGCAAGCATCGTTAACTTGACTGGGTACACTGGTCTTCAAAACAAATTCAAACTCAACCATCTCTTAAGTAGGTTTATCAAAAAGTGAGTGAGTGGTAGTAAGGGGATTTTTGCAGCACAGAGACAAATGCCCTGCTGTTTCTTACCTGTTGTCTTATGAATAGCTGCAAAATCAATTTAGCGCTATAAAGGCAATATGAAGAGGCTTCTCTTCCCACCTCACCCAACTAAAGCAAGAACTTCAAACAAAAGACTAGCTTCATTTTAGGTCTGGATGGCAGAAGCAGAAGGAATATATTCCATTTTAGGCCCTGGTGGAAGTTTTAGAAATTCGCTATTAGAAACCCAATTGAACCTTTTGACACATAGGCAATTGGCATTTGAGAACTCCAAACCTTTAATTTTTTTTCTTTAATCTCATTTTAATTATAAAACTTTATGTCCTTTTTTTAGTCATACAAGTACCCCCCAAGCTTTATGCTTGGTCTCCTGCTGCTTTTATTTTTTAGATGAGGGTATATTTCATAATTGCTGAGTTTATATATATAATTTTTCCTATTTAGAGTGAGTGTTCACATCTACTTCCATCATCATCCTTAGAACAGTATCTTTTGACCTGCACTGATTCAAGTGTGAGACAAGAGGTTGAAATGAGTGACTTGTCTAAAAGTAGACCACCCTGAAGGTACTTTCAGACATCACAAAGGATAGGCTAGGGAAAAACAATATGGAGAATAGGTTATCTTCTCGCTCAGTTCACTGTATGTGCAACCGCCTCTTGACCAGGTTGTGCCTGTGATACTTTGAGATGTTATAGCTCAGTTTGCTTGCATTCTTCCATGAGAATTTGGTTCTGCGTTGTCACAGCAGGAAGGTAATCATTGACTGGGTCTTGAATGCTTGTAAGAATCTGACCTAGACCTCGGCTGATTCTCTGCCCATAAGAGCCACTGCTGGTTTTGGCTGAGATTGTCTGACCTCTGTAGACTTGAGCCTGATGCTCACATATACCAAACTTGCTTAGCAGGATAAACACATCTCTTTGGAAAGCTTTGGTGAAAATAGCATAAAGAAAGGGGTTGGCACAAGAATTGAGTGGGTAGAAGAGTACCAACAAAATTTTGGAATTGGTGACAGTTATCAATGGTTTGTTCATAATGGCAGATAAAGCATGGAAAGAGATGGGAGCCATGCACAGAAAGTCAGTGAAAATCAACACAGCCATCCGCTTGGCAATTTTGGTGTCTTTGTCCCCTGACTTGTACTGAGGGTTTCGCACAGTCACGTAAATTTTTATGTAGCAGGCGCAGATGATGACAAAAGCAGTAATGTTACATACTAGAACGAAGACAACGTAGGCTTCGGCCGCCAGTGTTTCAGTGTCCATAGGCAAGCAGATGCTGACTTTGCTATAGCTGCTGATGCCAAACAGTGGCAAAAGGGCAAGAAGAAAGCACGAGAGCCACCCTCCCAGCATGATAACCAAGGCGTGCCGGAGGCGAATCTTTCGATCCGGGCGCATGGCAAAAGTGATGGCGTACCAGCGCTCCAGGGTGATCACGGTCAGTGTGTACACAGAAAGTTCACTAGCAAAGACTGTGAAAAAGCCAGCTGTGTTGCAACCAGGCCCAGTCTGCCACTCTATAGCATGGTTATAGTACTCTGACCTGGTGTAGAGATCCACTGAAGCGATCAGGAGGAGGTATAACCCCATGCAAAAATCAGCAAAGGCCAAGTTACACATCAGAAAGCGTGGTACAGTCAGTTTATAATGGCTGGTGAGAAGGATGAAAAGGACGAAAACGTTACCTAGGATGGCCAGCAGGTTCACAAACCACACCACAATCCTCAGAAATTGATATCCCATTATATCCTCACAGGGGTTAAACTCATCGGGCTCTGGAGTGCATATTACATCTTCATTGCCTCCACAGACAGGATAGTCATAATGACTGTCAAAGGTCTGGATGTCTTCCATTTGGGGGTTCTTGAGCTCTTGGCCAAATCCAAGATTTTCTTCTCCGTGCTCTTCCAAAAAAAAGTAATAATGGGAATTTTCATGAAAATTTGTGGACTTGGTGTTTTTGTCATCCACAGTATCAGTGTGGTCTGTGTATTCTGAATAATCTTTGTAAAATGGACCTCCGAGAACTTTGACTGATCTTCTCTTACGAAAGCTGTTACTGCTGCTCTGGTTACATATCAGGTACTCCAGAATTCTGAAAGAGCAGATGGGGAAATCACTGCTGGCATTTACAATCTGGCTGGAGTAGAGCAAGTGAACAAATGGAACACTCCAAAAGCAAATCACCATGAATGAAAATGTAGCTATAAAAATGTGATGGGATATATTTCTGTTAACAGAACATATAGCAAACAATAAGCTTGAGTGTTTCTGAGCTTTTTTAAAAACTATATTTTTCCTTTCTCTGTTGCTATCAGCCATCCCCAGTAGTAATTTGGCTTGTTCAGCATCCATAATCCCTCTTCCTTCTTGGAATCTACATTCTTAGTAGGTAACAAGACTTTATCTACTGTTTATAACTTCTTAGATAATACACACAGTATTACTTTCCTTTTCTTTTTTTTTTTCACAAATTCCTCCCAGAAGTTCCATAATCTTAATTTCTGTTCTATGTATTTTCTGTAGGTTCTATACAGCTAACTAGCAGTGTAGTGGTTGGGAATCCTGTACATCATGTTGTGATGCACCTGTATTTGTAGTCGAAAATGATTCATACATTTTACTACAGGAAAAGTTGTAGTTCGGCATCAAATTTTTTGATCACTGTGATCCACTGTCACATAACCTTTAGCATTTCTCATTTCTAGGTGTGTAGAATTTGAGATTGCTTACAATTTGAATTGCATATAATCAGTCTGAGAAATTTTCATCTCTGCTGATAGACATGCAAATATTGTTTCTTTCAGTCATTAGATTGTGCTGGGTTGTTTGTGCACGTTCTTCCTGTCCAGCTTTTGAATCTGTCCACTCTTCTGTTTTATTTCTGTCCTCACTTTCCCAGTCTATTGTAATTGTGAATGTTATTTTTTTGTGCACTGTCAGCAAGTTTGCTGATGGCACA